TGGGGTACTGTCAAATTTCTGTGCCAGTGCCCCTCACTCACACTCTTTCTCCTCCTTGCTCACCACGTCTCGTTCTTGATCTATGACTCATTTATGCATTATCATTCGAAATTCTTGGGAGAAAGAAATGTATCAATTCAAAGGGAATCCTGGTCTGCCAAAATGAAAAAATCCCTGAGCAAAAGACGACAAGAAATCTCTTTCCTGCTCTCCTTCTTCTCTACCTGGTGCAACTCTTGCATTTCCAGCTCGAGCAAAGTTTCAGTCTAAGCATCACAATGAGTGTGGGGAAGCCTCTCCCAAAGTGCTGTGTGTGTGATGGGGGGACAGGTGAAGGCTGGCGTGCAGGTGTGTCTGGCTGAGTGCTGGACTCTGGGTGTGAGTGTGTACAGTTGTGTGTCTGCACACACCAGGGAGTCGTTCTGCTTTCCTGGGGGATGCTGTGTGTATCTGCCCCTCGCAGGGGGCATGGCTCTGCTGGTTGCTCTTGGAAGCATTTGTGCTTGTGTGTATTTGGAAGTGTGTCTCTGTGTGTGTATGTGTGTGTGCTTGTGTATATTTGCTTCCCAACCTTCTTGGTGTCTGCAAAAAGAGACATGGCAGAGAGACAATACTATCAGGTGGAAACAGTCCACAGGAGAGGGTGTGATGCACGTAAGACAACTTGTTTTAGAAAAAGCTTGGAAAAAAAATCTGTTGGAGAGATTAGTCTATCATTTTTGGAAACCTGCTGCAATGGTTCATGTAAAACTCCCCTCAAAACATCTGCAGTATTTTCCCTGAACATGATGGGCACAGGGCAGGGATGATGCTTCAGCCTGCACTCCAAATTTGTAGTCGTACACTGTTTGAACAGATGTTTTTCTTTTTATTGAAAGAGAATTTTTTAATAATGGAGCTGAGCTTTATTCTCTAACCAGCTATTGATTGGATTTTCTGTCACCAGACAGGCACAGAGAAACACATAGAAAAACTTGGTTCGTGCCCTGTTAAGCAGCTCACACGTCTGCCTGTGCACGTGCCTGTCTGCCTGTACATGGATACACACCCAGGCACCCACACAGCCAAGCACAGCCCCCCTGGGACACACCAGCTACATGTGGCTGCAGTTACATGTGACATGAGATGTAATGCCAGGTCTCTTAATTTAAGATTGCTTCCTCTGGTCTAAGCCATGATGAGGTGGGACATTTTGAATGCTGCTTTGGCTCCTTTGTATTTTGCTCAGGGACTTTTCTGCAGATGTGAGAGGAGCGTGGTGTTTTACACACACCATATCATATGGCCAGTCATGTCTAGGCTCTGGGAGAGGGGCAACAAAAGGATGCAATTTATGCCTTGATTGTGGCTTTTGTCAGGTTCATCTAGGCTTTTCCATTTTCCATCTGGGGTCATGTCTAATTTACCTTATCAATTTACCTTATTTTCTTCTTTGCAAGTTTAAAAATAGCAGAGAGAAAAAGAAAATTACTCTTAGTGGTGCATTGGAGTCAACATCACCTGTGAGCTACTGCCGTGTACAGGTTCTGAGGAAATGCTGAGCCTGTTCAATATACGAGAACAAAATCTTCCTTTACCATCAGCAATGCAGATGTTTTATTTACATGGTGACAGTCCCTGTGCGTGTTTCACACTCATGCTATGTGCAAAACTCTCCATGCAGAATGAATGCAGAATATATAATTGAGATCTGCAGTGCAGGTGAGTGATTTCCCAGTGCTGACCCAAGAGGAAAATCGAGCCTCACACATCGTGTCAGGGATGTCCGAGCAACACAATGCTGCATGTGTGTGCCTGCTCTCCCCATCCAGATGGGATATTTGCCTCTAAGATTGCACTGCAGTTCTTGTGGTTTGCTTTCCCTTTACTGCTGATTGTGGCTATGCCCTTTGTGGCAGTCAGGGGCTCGCAGGTGTGTTTTCTCTTTGAAAATGTAGTGTGGTCGATTGGATGTAGAATTCCAGAGATCAGCTCCACTGCCTCTTGCTGTGTGGGCTGAGCAAAAAACTCTCTGCACCACCTTAAGATTCTATCTATCTATCTGTCTGTCTGTCTATCTATCTAATCTGTCTATCTCTCTTTTTATCTTTGTTCATTTTGTGTTTGTCCGCCACCTGTAGCAGTTAAGTTGAAGAGCCTCCATCTTCATTTTCATCTTTAAATAGACCCTTTGTGGAATAAAAAATACACCTAGGATCCCACAGAGAGGAGCTGAAGAGATGAAATGGGAATATGTTCCTAGCAAATACAAGCTGGGTATTTTTGAACACAACTGTTATTTTTTCTATAGCTATGAAGAGGTATCATGTACCTAATGCCTCCTTTTCTCCTAGCCTTTTCTTGAGGCCACTGAATATGATTTCCGTCTTCATGATTTTCCACTTGATCTGATTCTGTAGGACTGTCCTGATTATTAACAAAGAAGTAAACCTTGAAGTGGTAGTAAAGGGGAGGAGTAATCACCTGATTTTACTTTGCTTGTAGGGGCAGACTTAAGTCTCCTGGTCTAGCAACTGCACAATATTTGTCTCTTAGTGCTGGACTTGGGAGTGCTGGTGGTAATCCCTGATCATCTGCCAGAGTCTCTCTTGGTTCACTCTTCTTCTCCCTTACCAATCCGTTCTTTTGTGATACCAAGTTAGCAATTTTTAGATTTCCTCAAATTTACGTCTGTTCTGGATGACATTAAATCACAGAATCATAGAATGGTTTGGGTTGGAACAGATGCCCCTGCCATGGTGAGGGATACTTCAAAGACTCATCCAACCTGGTCTTGAGCACAGTTCTCTGGGTAACTTGTTCCAGACTCTCACCACCCTCACAGATATAGAGGCCCAAGTGACTGCAAGACCTGCACCCTTAGTCATGGTGAAACCACAAACACGTCTCAGTGTAACTTGAGATTTAGCTGCCCTGTAGTTCTACTTTAAATTCCCATTTCAAGCTGATGAATTTCCAATGAGGACAAGTGCCCTGGCAGCTTAACACAGCCTAGCAATTTTTATTATTTTAGGAATATAAGATACAATTGTTAAGTCATTTTAGGGAATCTGTACTATTCTTTCCTTATTCCACGAAGAAAGCAAACATTATTCATATCTGTTACAGTGGCAGTAGAGTGGTGCCTACACACATAGAATCTGTGTCCAACATCAGTTTTCACATGCACAGCACACTGTCTTTCCAGAAATGCAATGTAGGTAGGAACTGGATAGCAGTTATCATACCTGCTTGTATAGTACTTTCAGAGAGATCAAAGAGTTACAAAAGTCAAACAGAGCTTCCAAAATAAAAAAAAAAGTCCTTCCTTGTCCCACAAGCCACAGAGATGGCTTCTATTTAAAACCAGTCCTCACAAAACAGCACAAATTTTATCCTCGATGCTTGAAGCTCAAGTATTTACACAGGGAATTTAGACTCTTCACTTGTGGTTTTGGCAAAAGCTTCACACAAATGTTTTGCACTGGTGGTCTCTTAGCCATTTAAGATAAACGCCAAAATCAAATGCAGTCCTTGCAGACTGGAGCGCTGGATGCTGTGCCAAGGATGAAGTATCCCCATTTGCCTCACATGTGTAGCTGTCAGATCAACATGCAGGCCTGGTTTCTGAATAGAGACTCTCAAGGTAGAGAGACTCCCTTGGAAAATGTTGCATGTTTAGAGTCAGAAGAAGCATGGATAAATATTATTCCTTGCTGCCACAGTGTAGGTTCCTTCAGGAAATATTTTTTCTAGGGTTGGAGGGAACACAGATAAATATTTCTGCTTGCTGACATGGTATTTGCTTCTATCTGCAAGGTGCACACTCATGTACAGCCAGAGATGCCACCATTTAGAAAGAAAGTATTTGCCAGAAGGTACCCCACAATTAGCACACATATTTCCTGATCTAAATACAGGGGGAAACTGTGGTTTCTGATCTACCACTGTGCGGTAACTGTTGGCAAATGCCAACTTTTTAATGGCGACTACTCCACTGCATTTCTTCATGTAGAAACTGGCCTTGATTAGTAGCTACCCTTTCTTTAATAACTAAGTGGCAGCAATAATTTGAAATAGAGGGGTTGGGATTCCCAATGGATGGAAAGTGGTGCCGTTCACTCAGCTTCCCTTAAAAGTCTGCTAATTTGTGCCAGCCAAAAACGTGACTCCTACATGATTCTGTGTGTGTGTGTCTGTATTTGTACAGGTGTATGTCGATATTTAAGACTTGTATCTTAGTTTTTCAAAGCCGCAGAATTCAGTTTGGACTATTGCCAGGAGGAGCAAGCATTTCCAGTGGAGCAGGAGAAAACTCTTAAATACAGCTTTTAAATGGCAGGTGATTCCTAGAGGGGTTAAAAATAAATAATAAGGTTGTAGGTTACAATATCATCTTTTAGCTACCAGGAAAAAGGTTGCTCCCTTCCTCGCAGGCTCAGCAGGGAATCAGCCTGCATAATCGGGGCATGCAAAATGCACAACTGGCCACAGCTCAAGCGGGAAGGCAGCACATGGCCGCCAAGGCTTCCTTCTGGGAGCTCGGCTCCTGGCACCTCACTGAAGCCATTTGAGCTCTAAGTCACTGCACTTTGTCCGGGCTGGTGTGTGGAGCCCACTTCAGCAGTGGCTCGGCAGAAAGCCTGCCCAGTTTTGTGTCGGCTCAGTGCATTAACACAGCCATAAAACAATTATCCCCCTTTTGATTTGGTCCCTGAGCAAGCGCTGGTGGCGACGTCCGCCGCCTCTGGCTCTGCTCTGTGCCAGGGCTGGCCATCCCCCACCTTCACCCTGCTCCATGCCCACACAGGCCCTCAGCCTGGGTTCGCAGGTCCTCCAGGTCTCTTCTTATTCTTCCCCCACCCAGCGTGAGCCCACCGGCCTCAGCCAGACCCAGAGAGGGGTTCAGACCAAGCGTGTTGAGCGTTAGGCAGCCAGCCCCCACTTCGCTTGTTTGATGCCTCCTCTGTCCCTTCAAACTTAGATCCGACTGACAGTTTTTTCTATTGTTTTTTCTCCAGGGCCGTCCAGGCCTGCAAACCTGCCGGGGGCTCCCATAGCTGCCTCCTCCCACCCTCACACATCCGTGATCACGTCACCTCTCCGCGCACTGGCCTCCCTCCCGCCCTGCCTTAGCCTGCCCTGCTGTGGTGCACGTGCAGTCTCAGTTGGCGGGACTCAGACTGAGATTCAGACTGAGACGTCAGGCACATTTGGATGTCATTGTCAGTTGTCAGGTAATAGAAATACTTTTTTTTTTGTTGCTATCTGAAGGTCAGTAGTGCTGCCAAGTGATGTCGTCTTTGCTGTGGGAGAGCTGCCTTTGCTGGGTCTCATGGGGAAGGCAGAGAAAATGGCCTAACCTGCCATCCCCACCACTTCCCGTCCTCCTTCCCTCTCCACCCTGGAAGAGGGGAGTGGGAAGGGGCATGCGACTCCCTCCATTTCGTCATCCCTCCCCTCCTGCCTGCCCACCCTCAGTTGTCAGCTGCGGCCACTGCTGGGCCGTTTGTGCCATGTTGTGAACAAATGTCTGAGACTCCTTGCAGAATGTGATACCCCAGTATCAAGATTTCATCTCTCTAGGCTGTTTATTTTAAGCTTAATTGGATAGCATTTAACATCTGAAGTATTTTTATTTCCTTCTTTTTGCCCTTCCTCCTCAGTCATTCATATTAAAGGCTCTCCTCCGCATCCATGTGCACGCAGGATGTATGTGCTCCATGCTGTTTTCTCCCTTGCTTTGAGAAAATGCTCCTTGGTAACTCACCATGCATCCCTGGCCTCTTACCCCATCAGTTTTTCTTTTCCTTTATTCCTTTTGGATGCCTGACTTTTATCACCATGAGGAGTGGAAAGTGAAAATGAAGGCACACCAAGCTAGCCAAAGAGAACACGGACATATTGTCACCAGACCCCATCATTTCAGACCCAGTGATCTCTTTGAAATCAGTGGGTGTTTCGGAGCATGGATCAGTTGCAAGACTCGGTCTATGATGAACTCTGGGCTGGTGAGGTGAAAATGGGGAGGGTTTAAAAGAAAATACAGATGTGGCAAAATCCACAAATGTTTATGGACTCTCACTGTGGTGGGCCAAATCCCACAACCCTCATTCATGATAGTGTGCATGTAGTTTTAATAAGGAGTTCCCTAAATGTTGCTGGATAAGTAAAGCATGAGGACCAAAGGATTCAGAGAGCCAGCAATGACTATCAGGAGTAAAGCCTTTGGGAAATGGCTCCTCATTTCTCCCCTGAAGCTGGCAAAACTTTGTTGTGCTAGCTTTTTCCTTCCACAAGCGCTGGTACCACTTGGCTACAGTATGCTGTATCTCATGAGAATGTTTCTGTACATCTCTCATTGATGTAAAAAAGTGAGATATAAAGTTTTGCAAGAAATTAAAATTTGTGTCTTGGAAACTCTGGGTCTTTAAAGATAAAATATTCTCAGGAGGAGGCTAAGAGCACTCTGCAGGGTGCTGTGTAGGTCCTGGGTGAAGCTCAGGGCACACAGAGAAGGCTCCTTGCTGCCTGAAGGTGCTCAGCCTGCACCCATCTGCTTGCACTGGTGCACAGGTTCTGGGTTTGTAGCAATGTGCTGTGTGGTGAGGTGCCATCAGTAAATCCAGGGTCTGGTTACATTTTCTATCCAAGCTGCTGCATGCAGTATGACAGAGGATGCAGTTTTAATGAAATTCTGCTTCATCAGCCTTGGCAGACTGACCAACTGGCCTGAGACGGATGTGGAGACAGGCTCTTGCAAATGGTGAACGTTGGATCAGAAAGCTTCCCTGCCTCTCTCCTCCCAGGAACCAGTAAACCAAACTGGAACTGGTCTCATGTTTTGCTGCCTTCTCGTTTTCACTGGTGTAGTATGCACACACGTGCCTTCAGGAGGTGCATAGTTGTAATGCTGCATTGGATATCCCAGTTCCCTCTTGCTTCTGATGCCAGCAGCCAGTGGGAATAGAAGCAAGTACACCTAAAAATAGAAAAGGAAGGAAGGAAGGAATAACTTATTAAAGAATGTGGTGAAGGTGAGGCTTTGTGTACTTGGAGTTCTCACTTTGGAGTCGTGTGCTGCGAGCCTTTGGCATTGCCTGTTTGCTGGGAGAGGGATGCCAGCTCTGTGGAGAGGGAGACCTGTTATCATGGCTTCCTGTAATTACTGCTGCAGTCTGCAACGCTTAGAGAATAGGTTTTATCAAAGTGCATGCTACATGTTTATGACGGTAGTTGGTCAAGGTCTGCTTGAAAGAAACATTTTCTTCCCTTGAAAAAGGAGATTATGTCTACTTAACCCTTTCTTAGCTCCCATAGTATTCACTGTATGTGAGCCTAGGCAAGGGTTGTGGGCTCTTCTGTTGCCCAAAATGTTTTGTGGAAATGATAGAAAAGTGAGTTCTTTGTGTTGATTAATAATCTGGTGACAATCCCTGCATTGTGCCTTTTTTTAAAATATAGACATTTACAACAGTCACTTGCTCCAGCTTTAGAGATCAGCTTGTCTCTCTGACTTGATTAGCCTTTTATTCTGTCAGCCCTGTTCTTGCTTCTGAGGAATTGGTTACTTCTTTGAACAAAAGCCATCAGCAGTTCCCGCCTCCCCTCATCCTTCATCATTTCTTACCTTTCCTGTTTTTCAGCATTTATTTAATTCAGGGCCTGGAGATTTTCCATGCAGTTCTCAAGCAGACTGTGACTCTGATGGCTTGAAGTTGCAGGTACTCCAAAATCTTTACTGGGCACTCACAAACTGGGCCCTCAGGAGTCCCTCACAGCAGTTTGTGCTGGAGAATCCAAATGTCTGGCTGCTGGTGGGATTTGGGGTACACGTGTGACAACTGTATTTGGAAATCTCCGACCTAGATAGGAGTGATTGTCTGGGATGCTGAGCAGTGTTCAGTCATGCACAGAGGAAGTCATGCTGCCTCATCTAGAGTTGTTAGTGATCTTTAGAAAATGTGCTGATAGTTTCAATCACTGTAAATGGTGCTGGGAGGTCTGCTTGGATGTCCACTGTGCTGCTCAGCCAGTGCTGATCGTGGTCCTCTCTGTCTTTGTTCAATTCTTTGTGTTCAAGGCACCCCAGGATGAGGAATTTGCAAGTAAAGGTCCACGGTTTTTCATGTGATGAAAAAAAAATCTCTACCATTGGTTCAGTCTCTCTCAGTCTATTTATTTATTTATATATTTTGCCCCAGAAGCTTTTGTCAGTTGAATTGTGTTCTCCTGTTCAAATGTTTTTAGTGCCTATTTAATTAGAAGTTGGCATAGAGTAATGAAATTCACAGGGTTATGTAGCTTGGATCTAAAATATAGATGGGCAAAGCATTCATTTTGCTTTACCCCTTGCCAGATTAGGGTGCTTTTTTGAGGCTGCTTTTTATTTCATTTCAATGAATTGCAACTGCTCAGAGTAACTGTAAAACACACACAGTTTTTTTTTTTGCATAACAGAGACATGCAAATGATTGTTGAGAGACATAATTATGTAAAGAAAAGTATATGTCTGTGTGCATGCACACATACACTGCAATGCTTTTTGTGGGGCTATTTTGTCACAATATGTCTTCATAAGGCTCTTTTTATGATGCTGATTTATTAATATTGTACATTAAGGCTTAAATTGTCAAAGCTGCCTAAGAGATTTGGATGCCCATTTCCCATTAAAGTTAACGAGAAATGAGCATTGAAAATCTCAGCACAGAAGTGCATGGCACTTTACAGTGTGTTCTCCAAAGAAAAAGTCCCTTCCTCGAAGATACTGTGGTGCCAAAGCCCCAGGAAGAGGATCGTAATCAGCATAAGACAAAGGGGGATTGTAATGGCACAGAGAATAATTAATCCCCTGTGCCTACATTCAGATATATACCTGGTCCAAATTCTTTGGACCTGGGCCTACGAGTGAGGGTTTTATATACCCCTGTAAAGTTAATTAAATCTGTCCAATACACATATATTCATCTAAGCAGTGAAACTGCTTCCTTCCCACATGTAGGCTGATGGAAGGAGGTGGAAAGCAATTATGATACTTAGTTGCATGTATAAAAACAGCAAGTGGGCATGGACAGCAGTGATTAATGGACAGGGCTGTGAAATTTAAGGTCTAAAATAGAGGAAGGCATGGGGCCATATCTTGGAAGAGAGGAACAAGCTCCTGCTAATTCAAGGAATCAGCTGTGTTAGTCATTAGGACATTCTGAAAATCACAGTCATCTTGTAAAGTTAATATCAATTTACTTGGCTACTGAAATTCTACTTACTGCTTCATTTAACTAGTCTGGTGTTTTCTTGGCAGAGGTTAAGGTGACAGTAAAGATAAAAGCAGTCCCTGTAACTAAATCATAGGTTTTAAAAGAATACTTTTTCCTCCATCTATTATATCACCGTATTCATTTTATGTTGGTTTTATAACTGGAGTCAGCCAATGAGAAGAGCTAGATTAGACCACCCTGCTGTAAAAAGCTTGATGCAATTAATACAGTCTGTCTAGAAAGAAGTATTATTTCAAAAACTTTTATGTTAATGATATGGTATGCACTCGGCACGTTTCTTACTTGAACAAGAAGCAAGCTTTTGTTCACTCCAGCCTGGGTTTTATTAACACAGGAGGATCAAGGGAAAACAAAACAGTAATCAGAGCAGAGAATACAAACTCATCCAGCAAAAACCTTCTTACTCATCATGTCCCAGGACAAGGGCTGATACTCTACTCTTCTTCTTTTTTTGCTGAGTAGAGTTTCAGAAAAAAAAAATAAAAAGGGAAAAAAATGGTGCAAAAAATTGATTTCTCTTCAGCACTGGTGCTTTTTTGAGAGGAGAAAGAGGAATTTGGTATAAGTGTCAGAGGACAGACAAAGATCTATAGTTTCCCTGAGAGCCTTTGTAAATGTATCTTTTCATTTTGCTGCATAAATAAGAGGTTTGCATAAAATACTGGCTAACATTCAGGAGAGATGTCCCTATGAGTCATGTGTATTTATTTATTTTAGTGAAATATTTAATGCATGCTATAGTAGAATTGACTTTGTGGACAGTACTTACAGAGTGCAGGGATGTGTGAGAGATGTACACAGTAAAAAGAGTAATGCATCAGTCTGAGTGCACGCATCCATCTTTACACCTATCTATCAATCTCTGTGTTCATTCACCTATCCAAGTATTAAAATCATATGTGACCTGCTGTCTAGGCAGCTCCCTGTCTCAGTAGATATTAAAATCAGATCCAAACTCG